CACAAGTGAGTGACTCAGACCCGCGCAGAGGCTGACCCAGAGGCCATACCACCAGGTTGTCCCTAATACAAGAGAAGCAATGATGCGGATTCACTGATCTCCAGGGAAAGCAGGTCGATAACAGGTTATAAACATGGGAATATTTTGGAAAAGCCGTCGTCCACCTGTCAGCTCCATCTCTCCTGCCCGGAAGATGTAGGGAGAACCTGCCTTCATCCTGTAACAGGACAGAGGACAAGGGCAGAGACCCAAGTCCTGTCAGTGCCCTCAGGAAACCCCCCATTTCCTCCTCATGGTGGAAGTGGAAACCATCCTGCTGGATGATCTTCCCGGGGAGATCCTCCACCCTGAAAGTGAGGAATCTGGTTTGAGGGCACACATATTCTTGGTGCCATCACTTTCTGCAGCTGAACGCTGCGTGCGTGGCCCATTATTCTTGCTAGTCCGGTGTTACTGGGTCCTGGGAGTTTCTGTGGGTTGATGGCAAGTGTTTACCATTGTGTTTAGAGAGAACAGAACTTTTTTGTGTCGAAATCACATGATAACCATTGCCATGTGATTCCTTGGGTTGGTTGGGGCGGGGGATGCTCAAGCTTTTTCTGAGGTCTAAGTGCTTGTTTGAGACAGTCTCACTTTGTCACCCAGGCTGGAGTGCAGTGGTGCGATCTTGGCTCGCTGCAACCTCTGCCTCCTGTGTCAAGCAGTTCTCCCTGCCTCAGCCTCCCGAGTAGCTGGGATTATAGGTGTGTGCCATGACGCTTGGCTAATTACAAAAATTTCTAATACAGGAAGGGTTTTGCTGTATTGGCCAGGCTGGTCTCGAACTCTTTACCTCAAGAGATTGGCCCACCTTGGCCTCCTAAAATGCTGGGATTACAGGCTTGAGCCACTGTGCCCGACCCAATCCTGACATCTTTTAAAGCTGCCTTCATGTACCAAAAGCCAGTCTGTTGGAAAATCAGGCTTGTTGAAGAGCCTAAGAGGAGAGGGATAAGCTTCAGCTAGGTAAATAACTATGCATATGTTAAAAATGTGGGCCAAACTCTATCCCAAATATTAACTCTTCTGCTTGGTGTTTTATATCCATTTATGGTTATTCTTTCAGTATTAAGATTTTTAAAGATTCTTTTGATAATTGTGGACAAATTACTATTAAAACTCAGCTGCATTTGTAACACTTTAAAGAACTAACTAATGACATTATTTTTCTCGGAGGCATTTTGGATAGTTACATAATTGTTTATCTCTTTGCCAGAAATCTTTTTTTTTTTTTTTTCCAGAGCAGAAACCTGAAAAGAAACATTCCTTTGCATTAAGTGCTGTTTCACTGTGTGACAATCAAGTTTTGAATGTGAGAACAAGATCATCGTGTATTTTTGGGATAATTCTTGCTTAATAGTGATAATGCTAAGTGTTAAAATTATGGAACAATTTGTTTCTTTGAAAATTACTATTTGCCTGCTCACCAGATGGGAGCTGATGAGAATGTGGATGTAAAAATTAAATTGTATTTAGCTTGTATAAAAGAAGTTTTAAAAAGCTTTTTTGTTTTGTGCTGCTACTGAAGTTACTTAGCTGTGGAAATGAGGTGATTGCAGGCACCTAGAATTTGATCTCCTTCACTTCCACAATGGGAAGAAATTCTCCAAGAAGCACAGGAATCTGACTTTCTGATATTGAGACTCCTAGGCGTCAAGCCCCATGGAAGGGGTGTTGATTATATGAACGTTGGCGTTGATGTGGGCATCCTCCAAGCCGGACGCAGGGAGCGGGGAAGGGCAGAAAGAACAGGCCCCTCAGGAGCCATGAGAAAATAAAGTGTTGGCAGCAGTGGTGAGGGTTGGTATCAGGGGCCAGGAAGAGGTGGCGAAGGGAGCATGTGCCTCAAGACGGCTCTGGAACCCGCGGTCCCTGCAGTGAGGTCTGGTCTGCAGGGGATGTGGATGGCCACGCGGCGAGGCCCACAGACAGCCTGGACTCGGCTGCCTCAGAACTCTGGTGGACGTTGCAAACGGCCCCACAGGGTTGCAGTGCACATTCCTCGGACAGAAAGAAGACGCTTGGAACTGTTCCCGGCACGAAGCCAGCACCCTGTGAACAGTGGCTGCTGCTGTTGTGACTGAGTGCCGTCCAACTGGGAACATTTGCTCTGCTCAGTTCACTGTCTTCAACAAGCTTGACGCATTGAACGAGGGCTCAGTCGATAATGTACTCTGTAAATTCGCTCTCCCGGCTAGAGTGAGCAAAGCCCAGGGAGCGGGTGGTTCTCATTGTTAGCCAGGTGTTTGTGGCAGGGCCAGCTGTGTGGGTGCCAGAGCGAATGTGACCAGGAAGCCTCTGTCCCCCCGAGGTGGCCAGCATTCCTGTTACACGTGCCATAGGCAGAAGGTGGGCACTGCTGGGGGACTTGCTCATGTTCCTGTTTTCTGATTGGAAATTCAAGGTTTCTGAGCATCCTACGTCGAATTTGTACATTGCTGAGATTGTACACATTTCAACGCTTGTTTTTTTCTGCTTTTCAGATCTATACAACCTGGCATTTGGCCGTGGCTTCCAGGACAGGCTGGATGCAGAGTGAAGTCCTCTCCTCACTGTCAATGTTTGCAGATGTCTTCTTGTATAAACTTCATATTTCTTGAGACTTTCAATTAGGTTTTTACTTAACTGGACTTTTAAAATTGCCATGCACATAACTCTACCAGTTACAATCGTGAACTAACATGGGTTTTTAGTTTTACTTTGAATGTTTAACATTTGCATGCTGGATGTGGGGCTGGAGGTCATTTATCTGCTTTTCATTTCCTTTTTGGTTATACTTAGTGACTTTCAGGTAAGGTGTGGAAGGCGTGGTACAGGGTGAATTGCAGGCTGCACTGTGGCATTGTGGAGGACAGGCGCGGGCTGTAGTGGTGTGTATAGTGGATGAGAGACAAGAGACTTCCATCCTTGAGGGAAACACAACAATTTAAAAAACTGATCATCTAGCTTACATGAGGTCCAACAAATACAGTTTGCAAAGTTGAACTTCCAAGTTAATTTAGTAATTTTTCCCCTAAGTGATTAATTTAGTAGCTTACGTTTAAATACATTTCTTTTGTCTAAAGGAAGTCATAAATTCTAAAATGAATGACTAAACATGTAATAATTTAGGCATGCAGCACCTGAAGGGAAAACTGCCAGTATGCTAAAATATTGGATACAGATGCTTTCAAAATATAATGTAGCATTCTTACAATGCATGTGCTCTTAGTGTGTAACTTGGTGAGTAGTTTTGAACTATATTTGTGGGAATGTGTATCTTGAATACTTGAGGCCACCACTGCAGATGTGTGCGTGAGATGTATAAATACTGAAAGTTCTTCTCCTTTCCCTTAAAACATTAGCTTCTTTTTATTTATATTTTTATTTTTGAAGTGGACTCTTGCTCTTGTTGCCCAGACTGGAGTGCAATGGCACAATCTTGGCCCACTGCAATTTCTGCTTCCCGGGTTGAAGTGATTCTCCTGTCTCAGCCTCCTGAGTAGCTGGGATTACAGGCACGCGCCACCAGCTAATTTTTGTATTTTTGTTAGAGATGGAGTTTTGCCATATTGACCAGGCTGGTCTCAAACTCCTGACTTCAGGTGATCTGCCCACCCCAACCTCCCAAAGTGCTGGGATTACAGGCATGAGCCACTGTGCCCAGCCAGCTCCCTTCTGTAATGATTTTTTATACAGTTGTTTTTGCTTTTTGTTTTTT